GAGAGAGAGGGAGAGAGAGAGAGAGGGAGAGAGAGGTGGGGTATTGACCGTCGGTTCACATCAAATAAAGACATTATTTTACCAAATCAGACGTCTACATTCAGCACATTCGACTTTCTGTTCAAGCCCCATCAAGCAGACCAGAGTAGTGTGACAAGTGTACAACCCGTTTAAAACACGCAGCTGTAATGCGGCCGCATTAAAATTGCTCTCTATCACCGCCGAGAAACCGGTTCTTGGACGAGAGAGGTTCTAGCCGAGAAGAGGACATTACGCCACGATGCTTTGTCCAGCCCGCTACTTGCACGGACACTCGACCCTCACAAGAGGTTCGCATACCCTCGGGTGGGATTCAATTTTCTCCCGGGGGGAAAAGGTGTCAAGTCTACAAGGGCCTGGGCCCCCGTTCTTGCTAAGAGGCCCCGGCCTCGCGGTGAGAGGTCTGGGATTAGTAACTAGCAAATACGTCTCACAAACTCGCGCCAACCTATTGTCCTCCCCTGGATATTTCCCTGTCGTCCACTTTTGCGGGACTTCCAACAACGACCACTACTCCCCCCGCGTTTGGACCTACCACCAGTAATTTTCACCGCGGCAGCACAGGCAGCGTCTTTTATCCGCGTCACGTGCAGGGTCCCTTGTTCTCAAGGGGCTATATCCACGACAGTCCCACAGACTTGCTATTCCCCCGATCTTATTGTTCTTAGGAGGCTATTTGCCAGACAAGTGTTCAAATCCGGCTAAATCTATGAGGGGGCCGGGGTCACAGGTGTAGGGAAAGTTATAAGCTGGTGTTACCGAAGGCTGATGAATTAACACCCCTGGTAAACCACTTCCAACTCAAGTCCTGTGTAGGTCGTAAAAGCCCGTTGTTGTTCGCAAGGATATTGTAAAAGCCCCCGGTTGTTTTCAAACATCTGCTGAAAGTACAGGCTTAAAGTGAGCACGCCCTTAAGGAGCTGCTGTTAATGCCAGTTGTTTTGAAACATCTGGGGGGAAAGAATGAGCTTAAAGCAGAGAACTTTGGCTAGACTCTTCACACCCTAAAATGAACTTGTTCCTCTTAGTTTGTGATTAAAAGCTCTGAAATCCTGGCAGGTGAGACGCTGGGAAGTGGCCAGAAAGTGACGTGAGCCGTCCGTATTGAGGCTTTGAGAGGCTGAAACAGCTCCATAATATCATAAATTCAAGGGATCGCTCGTTCTTCGTTGAATCGCTCACTGTAATACTATACTGCTTCTGGAACTACAGAGAAGTGGAAGAAAAATTTGCTTTGGGCGTGGTCTGTCATGGTAGACAATGTTCGATTACATCGTAAATTGTGAAGAATTTATTACTCTCACCCCACCCCCATCCATCTTTCTAACTATTCAGTTGTCGATTACGGGGTTACAAATATCTAGTTAATCTACTAAACGTTTACATTGAAATAATGGAGAAAGGCGAATGCAGTGGTATGGTGTGTGTGTGTGTGTGTGTGTGTGTGTGTGTGTGTGTGTGGTGTGTGTGTGTGTGGTGTGTGGGGTGTGTGGGGTGTGTGTGTGTGTGTTTGTGTGTGTGTG